GTTATTAATGGACTTTTTCAACTCTCTGAGACACCCTGTATAAAGCCTATAACAGATTTGTTTTTTTTTAAATAGAGTTAATATGTCAAAAAAAAATACTACATAAAACACATTTATTATTTCCCTCGATGCTACGCATCTTGGGTAACAAATAAGTTGTTTGTTTACATCTTGTGGTGTAATATACTATTACTACACCAGTTGATTAGTCCACAAAAAAATAATTTCTGGAAAAAGTAAAAAATGTCCAATTTTGAATTGTTGGTTCCCTTGTATACAAAAAAATAATTAAAAAATAAAATAAAAACAAAAATAAAATAATTATAAAAATAATTTGAATTAATTTTGATGTTTTTTAATATTTTTTTTAATTTTCTCCAGGCGATTTCTTAATCAATTTTTTATAAACGCAAACGAGTTTCTCATCAATTATTTTGACCACAAAAAAATTTTCAAATATTTATAACCTAAACTCCTGACTCAACGATTCCTAAAAAAAGGCAAAAACAGTCCAATTTTGAATTGTTGTTTCCCTTTTTTGGGGTGTTGAGTTGGTGTTTTTGCTTTCATTTCGTGTTGTTGGCAACAAGTACTTAAATATAGCTTTGACATTAACTCGTTTATTATTTTAGGATGCACTAGATTTTGCGATCCTTGAAAATTAATTGATAAAAATTCAAGAGTGTGACCTGAATAGAATAATTTTCACACATTTCATCTCCCTCTCTCTCTTGCACTCAATATAATCTATATTTAATAAATTCCTTTTGATTAACGTTTCCTATCAATAATAAAAAGCACACATACCTTGAAAATGGTCTTTTGTGTTGACTATCGATTGGTGATGTGTGTTGTGTTATCAAAGTGCAGCTTTATCACGAAAGCACCACCACAAGAAGTGAGTGTGTGTGTGTGTGTGTTACTTTAAGCGTCGTGGTCCGAACTAAACGAATCGATGATATAGCCACCGGGGTTAAAATCTTTAAGGTGTAGCTACTATTTAAGGAAGTGGGTATATATTTACTACGTCAAAAGCGGGGCTTTTGGAATAACTAATCAGTCGAAAATGAGGGAAAATTCCAGGAGTTGAGGGTGGTATAAGGAAAAGTCAATCAAAGGAGAGAGAAAGAGAGAGAAAGATTAATAGAGTTAATCCAAAACCGAATTAAAATTTACACAATATTTTTCGTAAAAAAAATTTGCAAAATTTTAATTAAAAATTTAAAAATTCATTTTATTCATTCTCTCCTATAATATACAATTCTTGTCATTTGTTTAAAAAAAAACTTGCAGTGAAAATACATTTTTCAAACTTCTAAGTTTTTACTTTTGCTTTTTGTTATTTTCATACTGTTTCATTTCCTGTGTTTCTTCTTAAGTAGTTTTTCTTAATTTTAGTGAAACTTTAATGCAATTTTTCATTTTACTTTTTTACTTATTTTATCATTTTTTATTTATTTATTTTTCTGTTTATTTGTTTTATTATTTCTTTTTTTGTTAAGGGGATTAAGTACGAATTAAGTAGTCGCCCGTAAGACAACATGAAAAAAATTTTAAAATCTTGACATTTTTTTATTTAATGATACTGAAGATCATGTATACAGGGTGCGTCAGAACTCGCGCCCCAAATTTGTTGAATTTAAAAAAAAAATAGTAGGTTTTCAAAAAATCAAAACTCGAGCTAAAAAACAGGTGGGGAGATTAAAAAACAATTCAAGATTTCTATTTGTTGAATTTAGTACATTTTTCAAAATATAAAATTCGCATTTTTTCATTTTCAAATTATTTAAATAAAATTTTTACAAATTATTGATACACTTTTTAATACTAAGCCAGAAAAGCTATTATTTTGCAAAATTTCGTCAAAAAAACATGAAATTATGGAGAGGAAAAAGTTACTTGTTACTTTTTTCAACACGTTTTTGAGTTAAAATTTCAATATTTCTCGAGGTTTTGTTTAAAAAGAGCGAAAAATCTTGAACTTTAGTTGAAAATGTCACTYTTTTTGGCCCTTTTCAGAGTTTTAGTACGTTAAATTTTGACAAAATCAAACTGAAAAAAAATAAATTACATCGAAAATGGTGTTATTGTTGTCTTTTTGGAGATTTTAAACACATTTATTAAAATCTAGGTTTTTTTGGCCTAACAAGGGCAAAAAAATTGGTAAATTGGGTCAAAAATTAATTATTATTTTCTTTTATAATCCATTTAGTGCGTTTTTAAGTTGGTTGAGCTGGTTTTCTAAACTTCATTATTTTATTTTTTTCAAATAAAATTTTTACAAATTATTTTTGATACGCAAATTTGCTTTTTACGATCGTTTTAACTTATATCTAAGTCAGAAAAGCAATTATTTTGAAAAAATTTCGTCAAAAAAAAGCCAAAAATCACGAAATTATGGCGAGAAAAAAGTTATTTGTCACTTTTTTGAGCGTTTTAGTACGTTAAATTTTGACAAAAACAAGCTGAAAAAACTCAAATTACACCGAAAAAAAATTCTCTGTCAAAAAATTTTGACATTAATTTTTTGACATTACTGAAGATACTGAAGATCTTGTACATGTTTTTTTTATAATTATTTAGTAAAAGTACAAAAATTTTGACCATAAAAGCCACAAATAACGTTAAAAAAAGTTACAATATAGGATACAGCCAAAAAAACTTGGAAAATGATTTTTATAACAGAAATAAATAGAGTCAAAATAAAAAAAATAATAAAAATAACTTAAATTAATTAAAACAAATTCAATGTTAACATGATTTTTAATATTATTTTTTAGAATTTTTTGTCTCCAGGCGATTTCTTAGTCAATTTTTTGTTACCACAAACAAATTTTTCATCAATTTTTTGACCACATTTTTTTTTAAATATTTTAAAACTTCTAACCTAAACTACTGACTCAACAATTACTAAAAAAGGTAAAAACAGTTTTTTTGTGACCACAATTAATTTTATGTTCAATTTTTTGTAATTATAAACTGCTTTTTTGTTCCATTTTTTAGTACCATAAGAAATTTTCAAAATATTTATAACAACTTAAACTTATGATTTTAAGACCAAAATTGGTTCTTTATTCAATTTTTTGTCCCAATTTGAGTATTTATGGTTCTAACCAGGGGTGATAAAGGAGTATCAACACCCAACAAATTGTCAACTTTAATATACAGGCTCGCTAAAAAGTTTTGTATAGGTACAGTTAAATAATATTATAAAAAATATTCATCAAAACTTATTGAAATTTGGTATATGCTTAAAATTATTTAAATTCCATCTCCTCAGATGTTTATCATTTGTTCTGAGGATACAAGACTAACTTGATTTTTTTAATGTCAAGAAGCGTCAAATTTAATATTTTTAATTTTTTCTGAGTTGTATGATGCATATTTTATTTTAAAAAATTATCAAACTAATTAAATTTTGAAAAATGTAATTTTTTTTAGTCTTAAATATGTAGACTTTATCTATCGTTTGCTCTTTGCAGCCTGAACTTTGACCAAAAAATAAGTAAACTGTTTCCCAAATTTCAACGTGTTTTGAAAATATTTAGCTGTATCCATATTTTGTAGCGACCCTGTATATTTATTAAGCGAAAATATACAATTGAAACTCTTATAACTTCGAAATTTTTATAGATAGAATTTTTTGTATCTTACCTTACATTTTCTCTGGGGCATAAGTTCTGGCGCACCCTGTATATTTTCGAAATTCTTGTCTTTATCAGTAATTTTCTCGATAACTATTTATCGTAGAACACTAATCTTTTTTGTGTATGATACAAAATTAAATTTTCTTTTCAACGGTACCAAATATAAGAGGTTATTTCCGATAAGTCCAGAGTTATTGGCAATAAATCGCTCCAGGTGCCAAAAATCGATCAAAATTTCGACGAAAATTTAAAAAAATTCCAACTTTAAAAAATTAGAATTAGAGGTCCAAAAGACTCAAAAAAGTGCATAAAACTTGGGTTAGTTAAAAAAATTAACTAATCTAAATAATTTGACCTTGACAGCATAAAACCACATTGATTTATTGTCCCAATTCCATTATCTTTATAACACTTATTAACAAAAACATTTCCCCCATTAAACTTAATTATCATTTAAATCCGATTTATTTCCCCCGTTGGCACTTGCACAAACAAAGATGACATTATCAAGCAATCGTCGTTTTTATTACAATGCAGCAGGCAAATCAATTCCTGCGGTATTTCCCGACCTCAAATGGTAATTACAGAATTCAACTATTTTACCTGACATTTTTCGTATTTTAATTTTTCCCCAAGTGTGCTATTTTTATATATATATGTCACAGTGACGTCACAGTTAACTACGATTTCCACGTCACATAGTGGTGTGTGTTTATTTTCAGCCAACGACTTGTGTCAGGTTATTTTTTCCTCTTCTTCGAAAAAAACGATTCAAATGCGCATTTAGAGGTCACTTATTTTCGAACGAGATTTATATTTTGTTAATGTTAGAAAGTAGAAGGAAGCGTTAAGAATAATCGAGAAATTTCCTTAAAATCATCAAAATTCTCTCGGAATTTGATTAATTTGGGAAGAGTCCTTGCAGTTTGACACTGAGCCAAGTTTCGAAGCCAAGATTTAGTCTCTTTGTAAACTTTGTAATAATTGAAAAAATTAAGTTTTCTGTTTGTTTTTGCTAAAATTCCCGAGTAGGGCCTCAAGATTTGTTTTCAAAATTTAAAATTAGTTGTCGGAATTGTTACCGTCTTTCCTGTAGTAGAGTATCTCTGCGTGTTTCTCGACGCCCTCTTGTAGGGCCTCTCTGAGACTGGCGACGGCCTGTTGGGAGGTCAAAGGGCCGCACAAGAAGTCGCAAGAGGCCGAACGTTGCATCACATCTGCTCTGGAATAGCCTGTGAGTCGACAAAAGCCGTCCGAACAGTAGATTATGTGACATTGTCCTTCGCGACTGTTGGCCACCAAAAATGAACGATCTGGAAATGAATTGAGGGGTTTTAGACAAAAATTTTGAAGAGAAAACCTCCCAAAACTAAGAAAACTAAACTTTAGGGCAAAAAATCGAAAAACAAAACAATCAATATCGTAGGGTGGCATTTATAAGGTCGCGCATTTTAAGTATTGTCATTCTAAAGTCTAAAAAAATATAGTTTACGAACTGAGAGGTTTTAGACAAAAAATTTGTAGAGAAAACCTCCCATAAATGAGAAAACTAAATCTTTAATTTATGGCAAAAAATCGAAAAACAAAACAATATACAAGAAACTAAATATCGTAGGGTGGCATTTATAAGATCGCGCATTTTAAGTGTTGTCATTCTAAAGTCTAAAAAAATATAAGTAACGAACGGAGAGATTTTAGACAAAAAATTTGAAGAGAAAATCTCCCATAAATGAGAAAACTAAATCTTTAATTTAGGGCAAAAAATCGAAAAACAAAACAATATAAAAGAAGTTAAATATCGTAGCATGGCATTTATAAAGTCGCGCATTTTAAGTATTGTCATTCTAAAGTCTAAAAAATATAATTAACGAACTGAGAGGTTTTAGACAAGAATTTTGAAGAGAAAACCTCAAAAAACTAAGAAAACTCCTATAATTTAAGGCAATAAATCGAAAAACAAAATAATGTAAAAGAAAATAAATATCGCAGGGTGGCATTTATAAGGTCGCCCATTTTAAGTATTGTCATTCTAAAATCTAAAAAAATATAATTAACGAATTGAGACGTTTTAGACAAAAATTTTGAAGGAAAAACCTCCCATAAATGAGAAAACTAAATCTTTAATTTAGGGCAAAAAATCGAAAAACAAAACAATATAAAAGAAAATAATTATCGTAGGGTGGCATTTATAAGGTCGCGCATTTTTAGTATTGTCATTCTAAGGTCTAAAAAAATATAATTATTTATTTGTTCATTGAATTAAATAATCAATATTTAAACAAAATTTATACACTGAGGGACCCTAGAAATGTATTAGATACACAGTTTGGACATTTGATATTAAAAAAAAATAATTAACCTTTATTCTTCATATAATTTTTATCAACAAATTTTTACTTTTTCTATTTATTTTTTGGATATTTTTAACTTTATCAGCAATTTTCTAGATATCATAACACCTGAATACGTTTTGAAAATGGACAATAACCGAAAATGTCAAATTTTGGCAGTTTAGACATATGAAAGAAAGTCAATTAACCTTTTTTATATTGACAATAATATCAAAGAAGCCTAATTTCGAAACAAAAGATTTTAATTATTTTTTTTCTTGTCGAAAAATCTAAGACGTGTTTTGATTGGTTGATTTTAAAAGACGTAATTGATTGGCTAAGGATCGAACAATGACGCATTGAATGATTTTTTACTTTTTATTGGTCTAATAATCGAAAGTGCATGATTTATATTGGCTCTGAGGTTGGCTCCACCCATTGTGCAAAATTAGATCCAATTAAAGTAAGATAACTCACTCTAAACGCTGATTTGTTATAAAAATTCGATTCAGAATTCAATAATTATTCTGGATTTTTTAAATGGGTGGAGTTACTTATCGTTACTAGGTTTTTGTCGGATTTTGGCCAATAAGAAACAAAAACAGGTTTGTTCTCACGATAGTGGTAATTACGGGAATGAGAAATGATTCTTATTGGCCCTTGTAATAAATTAAGAAATGTGTCCAACCAATCAAATTCAAGATTTTGCAAAAACCTCACCGATTGGCCATAAAAAAAAACTGTTTTAATTCTATTCAAATTTCCTTTGAAAAAGACACAATTTAAAATGATTTTCGCAATTAGCCATGAAAAATTAACGTTGATAATAGACTATTTCGTCAATTTTTTCCTTAAAGAGGCAATAAAAAAATACTCTTACCAACAAATTAACAATATTTAGAAAATTTGTACAAATGAACGCAATTTAATTCTTCATTTTGTATTAAAAATAAATAGTTTTAGTGATAAATATAAGAACTATATTTTTGAATTTAAATTTGTTTCCCTCATTGGCTTCGAAAAAACTAATCTTGCAATTTCAAATTTTTACTTTTTATATTTATTTTGTTAAATTTGTGAAACTTTTATTTGTTAAATGCAAAATTTGCTATAGTCGTAATTATATTTTGGGTATTTTTTAATTTATCAGCAATTTTTTCAATAACTATTTATAGACCTTTTTTTCATGGGATAGAAAATTAAATGTGCTTTCCGTAGTTATTGACCAAAAATTGACCAAAATCTAAAAATCAAAAACTTCAAAATTGATCGAAATGCACAAAATTTTTGTTAAAAAAATATTGTAATTAAGGCAAAATTCTACCATATGATCGAGAAAATACATTGGGGTTTTATTTTCAAAAATAACACATCCTAGACTAAATAAAGCAAATTTTCTGCTTATTTTATACAAAATTTTTCTGTTTTTGTTAGTTTTTTGCTTGAAAACACTTAAAATTTATGAAAATAATCAAACTTGAGATAATTTTTCATAGAAAACATTTTATTTTAGACTTTTTTTTGGTCAAATATTTCAAATTTAGTAAGTTTTTCACGCGTTTTTTGGTTTGTTTTGTCAAAAATCTCCAATTCTTGCTAAAAATGCTTAAATTTTTTTCTTTTTGAAAAGAAACATTCGAAATTTATAAAAAAAAAAACGAAAATGATGCATTTTTGACCCAGTTTAGCAATTTTTTGCATTGATTTATTAAATAAATTTTCTAGCAGGCTATGACTTTGTTTCTTTCTTTCATTGAATAAAAAACAAAAGCATAGTTCACTTAATCTCCTAAAAACTAAAGAAATCTGATTTTTTTCAGTAAGTATAAATTATACTGAATGCCATTAGAAAGGTATAATAAATAAATAAAAGTTTCAGAGTGTTGATTACTTCTAATTTCTAATTACTACAAATTGTAATTAAATTTCGATTCGATGAATCAAATCTATCAATCAATCTGTCGTTCACGTAATTTATAAATCACTTCCTCGTCAATCATTGCAACGAAACAATAATTCAATTAAATTAAATTCGGTTTGTTGCCAACCTTGCGAAGCCATTGCCCCCAGAGCAGGCAAACAATTTCGTCATAAAATCTATTTCGAGTTGAGAAATTTGATGTAATGTCAACGCCAAGGCCCAAAATGTGAAAAATGCATCATGTTTGCGGCATATTATCCTCCCTCTCGCTCAAAACAAACGCAAAAGAAAGAGAAAGTCGATTATAAAAGGGTCGAAAACGTTGAATCGGATGAAATATTGATCGACATGCAGCAGGAATAATGTACAACTTGAATTATTATACAGTGTCATCTGGTGGTGGTTATGAATATCACGGAAAAGGACTGCATTACATGCGAACAGAGCCGGATTGATTTTTTTTGTTTTTTTTTTTTTTGGTGATGTGATAACCTGATTACCCCCCTGATCGATATTTAAACTGATAAGTGGGGCTCGTTAGTGTCATTAAAGCCAAACATGGGTCGATATTAATGGATTTGGGTATTTTTACGGTGATAAAATCAACATGATTTGAGTTCGTGTAAGAAAAGACAATTTTTACGAGCAAATAGCGAGGTTAAATGGCTTTTAAACGGTGCTGAATTGTTTAAAACAAAGGTTAATGCGTGTTTATTTGGAGATTTTCTAAAGTGGATCGAATGACGGAGAGAATGGAAACGGCTAATAACAAAACAAACAAAATTTATTCATATCTCACGCTTGATTAACTGAAACAAAGCTAATCAAATTAAATCGCATCAAAAAAATTATTATACCCAAAAAAAGACATACAGGGTGTTCAAAAAAGATTGTAAAATATTTGAGGAGGTAATAGTATTGACTAAAACAAACAAAAAGTCTTAATAAACATGGGTTTGCATATTTTGGTTTGTTTTGTCAAAAACTTCCAATTCTTGCTAAAAAATCCTTTTTCTTTTTAAAAATAAACATTTGAAATTAAAAAAAACGAAAATGATGCATTTTTGACCCAATTTAGCAATTTTTTGCTTTGATTTAGATTTTTTCTAATGATTGAGTTTCTTCGTGTAAAACAATAATTATTTTGCTCTGTTTTGGCGAAAATAACTTTCTGCACTGTCATTAATTAACAATAATTAATTACAATTATTACAAAATAAGGCAAGTGCCAATTGGGGTTTTATTTGCAAAAATAACACATCCTGGACTAAATAAAGCAAATTTTCATCTTAGTTTAGAAAAATTTTCTCTGTTTTTGTAAGTTTTTTACTTGAAAACACTTTAAATTTATGAAAATAATCGAAAATAACGCCTAATTTTGCAATTTTTGGCTTAGTTTAACTAAAGTTTTCTAAATTTTATGAGTAAAGTTAGCGAACTTGAGATTATTTTTTATAGAAAACATTTTATTTTAGACTTAAATTACAAATTTTGGTCAAATATTTCAAACTTTTACGCATTTTTTGGTTTGTTTTATCAAAAAATTTCAATTCCAGCAAAATTGTTGGTAAAAAATAAACGTTCGAAATTTTCGACCCAACTTAGCAATTTTTTACTTTGATTTAGTAAATTTTTTGAGTTTTTTGAGTTTCTTCGTGTAAAATAATATTTTTTGCTCTGTTTTGGCCTTTCTGCACTGTCATTAATTAACAATAATGAATTACAATTATTACAAAAAAAGACAATTGCCAATTGGGGTTTTATTTGCAAAAATAACATCCTGGACTAAATAAAGCAAATTTTCTGCTTAGTTTCGACTAAATTATAACAAAAAAAAGACATACAGGGTGTTAAAAAAACATTTTAAAATATTTGAGTAGGTAACAGTATTGTCTAAAACAAACAAAAAGTCTTAATAAACATGGGTTTGCAAAGAAACGGTTCCGAGATATAGAAAATTATTCGTTTTGTTCAAAGAGAAGCTTCTAAAAAAATTACATTCAAAATCGTTACTTTGTGTGTTTATTAACACTTTTTTGTTTATTTTGGTCCTTACTTACTATTACTTCATTAAATATTTTACAATCTTTTTTTAACACCCTGTATAGTAAAGTACAGTCAAAGAAAAGTATTGACTACGTTCTGTCAAAATAGTGATCACTATTATTCTTCTAGTGACTAATTATAAGTAATTTGTATTAAACTTTAAAAAAGACATATAGTGAAGTACAGCTAAAGAAAAGAGTATTGACCAAGCGCTCTTATCACATTCTGCTATTATCTTTCCAGTAACTACCTAATGAGCAATTCATTTTTTTTTTCAGAAAAAAAGACATAACACATATAGTGAAGTAAAGCCAAAAAAGACATATAGTAAAGTACAGTCAAAGAAAAAAGTATTGAACACGCTTTGTCGAAATAGTGATCACTATTATAAATAACTCATTAAATTAAAAAAAGCATATAGTAAAGTACAGCCAAAGAAAGCCAAAAAAACATAGTAAAGTACAGTCAAAGAAAAAAGTATTGACCAAGCGCTCTCACCACATTCTGATGAAATAGTGATTAATATTATTGTTCAAGTGACTAAAATTATAAATAATAATAAATAATTCATATTATTTTTTTTCAAAAAAAGACAGTAAAGAGTGGGTCTAAAAAAAGTATTGAGCAAGCCGCTTTCACCACGTTTTGTTGAAATAGTGATCACTATTATTGTTTTAGTGGCTATAATTATAAATAATAAATAATTCATGTTAATTTTTTTTTTCAAAAAAAGACTGTAAAGTACTGTCAAAAAAAAGTATTGAGCAAGCCGTTTTAACGTTTTGTTAAAATAGTAATTACTATCATACCATAATTATAAATTATAATACAAATATTTTTTATATTTTTTTTGTAAAAAAAACACATAGTGAAGTAAAGCCAAAGAAAAAAGTATTGARCACGATCTGTCGAAATAGTGATCACTATTATAAATAACTCATTAAATTAAAAAAAAACATATAGTAAAGTACAGCCAAAGAAAGCCAAAAAAACATACAGTAAAGTACAGTCAAAGAAAAAAAGTATTGACCAAGCGCTCTTACCACATTCTGATAAAATAGTGAATACTATTATTGTTTTAGTGGCTATAATTATAAATACATAATTCATATTATTATTAAAAAAAAAAAACAGTAAAGTACAGTCAAAAAAAACTATTGAACAAGTTGTTTTTGCCACATTTTGTTAAAATAGTAAGTATGTACTATCATCTTACCAGTAATTAATTATAAATTATAATATGTCTTTTATTATTTTTTTCAAAAAAAACACATATAGAGAAGTACAGTCAAAAAAAAAGTATTGATCACGCTCTGCCGCAATGGTGATCACTATTTTTTATATTTCTTGTATCTACGAATAAAACTAAGAATAAAAAAATAAACTTTCTTGGAGATTATTTTAATAACATAATAATGCAATTACCGCACAAATGAGACAATAATAATAAACGAGTTAAGAACAATTTATACAAAGCTATTTTTGCAAAAGTGTGGAAAATTTTTATTTTCTGCACTGGAATTAAAATGTAAAAACTATTTTACCGGTCATTAATTAACAAAAATTTATTAAAATTACAAAAAAAGAAACAATTGCCAATTAGGGTTTTATTTGCAAAAATAACACATCAAAGACTAAATAAAGCAAATTTTCTGTTTAGTTTAGTCAAAATTTTTCTGTTTTGTTAGTTTTTTGCTTAAAAACACTTTAAATTTATGAATAATCAAAAATAACGCCAAATTTTGCAATTTTTGTCTTAGTTTAACTAACGTTTCACTAAATTTTATGAGTAAAGTTAGCGAACATGAGATTTTTTTTATTGAAAACATTTTATTGTAGATTTAAATTACAAATTTCCTGTTTAAGTAAAATTTTCTAAATTTTAGCAAACTTGAGATTATTTTTCATAGAAAACATTTTATTTTAGACTTTTTCTTGGTCAAATATTTCAAATTTAGTAAGTTTTTCAAGCATTGTTTGGTTTGCTTTGTCAAAAACTTCCAATTCTTGCTAAAAAATGGTTATTTTTTTTCTTTTTAAAAATAAACATTCGAAATTTATAAAAAAACGAAAATGATGCATTTTTCACCCAAGCAATATTTTGCTTTGATTTTGATTTTTTTTTAATGATTGAGTTTCTTCGTGTAAAACAATAATTATTTTGCTCTGTTTTGGCGAAAATAAAAAATACTTTACTTTCTGCACTGTCATTAATTAACAATAATTAATTACAATTATTACAAAAAAAGGCAATTGCCAATTGGGGTTTTATTTGCAAAAATAACACATCCTGGACTAAATAAAGCAAATTTTCTTCTTAGTTTAGAAAAATTTTCTCTGTTTTTGTACGAAAAATAACGCCTAATTTTGCAATTTTTGGCTTAGTTTAACTAAAGTTTTCTAAATTTTATGAGTAAAGTTAGCGAACGTGAGATTATTTTTTATAGAAAAAATCTTATTTAGACTTAGATTCCAAATTTACTGTTTTTTTTTTTTTGGTCAAATATTTAAAACTTAGTAAATTTTTCACGCATTTTTGGTTTGTTTTGTCAAAAACTTTCAATTCTAACAAAGTTCTTGGTAAAAAATAAAAATTCGAAATTTTCGATCAAATTTAGCAATTTTTTGCTTTGATTTAGTAAGTTTATTGAATTTTTTGAGTTTCTTTATGGAAAACAATATTTTTTTGCTCTGTTTTGGCAACTTTCTGCACTAACATTAATTAACAATAATTACAATAATTGGGGTTTTATTTGCAAAAATAACACATCCTGGACTAAATAAAGCAAATTTTCTGCTTAGTTTAGACAAAATTTCTCTGTTTTTGGCTTAGTTTAACTAAAGTTTTCTAAATTTTATGAGTAAAGTTAGCAAACTTGAAATTATGTTTTATAGAAAACATTTTATTGTAGACTTTACTGATCTTTTTGGTCAAGTTTTTGACGTATTTTTTGGTTTATTTTGTCAAAATCATTCAATTCTAGCGAAATTCGAGCCAATTTAGCAATTTTTTGTTTTGAATTTTTTTGAATTTTTAGAAATTTGTTTGCTCTGTTTTGGTGAAATAAAAAACTCTCGTAAACCCATAAAAATAAAGCTCAAGTTAATTAATTGTGAGTTATTAATGAACAATAATTAAAAAAAAATACTCGCAAATAAACGCAAAATTTTTGTCTCTCCGAAAATAAGTTCGTTTGTAAACAGTACTTTTTAATATTTAAGAATTGCAAAGATGCAAAAATAAACTCGACTATCCTTAAAATAAACAAGTCAGTTTCCGGCCAAATAAACACACTTTTAAGTGGGACATTTTCATTTGGCGTGACTGTACCCCAAGCAATTAACAAAATGAATTTTTCACCCAAATGTACCTTGACCATGATTATGATGAAACAACTTAATTTATTCAATTGGGAGACTTTAAGGCCGGGCTTTCGCATTTCCCTCGGGGGTGGTTTTACGACGAAAACAACCCTTGAAAATAAATACGAAAAATCCCAATTTGGGCCAGAATGAAAACTTGAATTTTTAATTGTTGCGAGATTGGATTTTTTCCCTTGACAATCCCCGAATTTGGCGCTTTGGTTGACAGGCAGTGCTGCCAATCGTCGACTTACTGTCAGTGTCGAATTTCCTGATGATTGTTTCAATAAGCGTAGTCCTGGGAGCGACATGCCCTCTTCGCACCGGCATATCAACAACAACTACAACAGTTCGCACTCGATGTTGTTCATTTTCGTGAGGAAAAATTCATCGAAACACCAAAAATAAGGCATCCATAAGGCAAATTCAGCGGTTGAAATATAAAATCGCGGCTATTTCCAAAAATAAACGCACAGATTTTTACCAAAAACCGAGCAAATCTATACGAATTTCGGTAAAAATACACCCCCGAGGGTGCGCGCGCATTGCACTCGAGATTTTCGCGACATTCGCGCGTCTCGAAGCTCAGTGTCATTCAACTGAGCTTTCGCAGGTGGCAGGAATCGGCGCCTGCCGCCAGCAGGAAAATCCTGCACTTGCGCGCACGACGGGTAATAACTGAAATTGGACGATGAAATTTGCAACGGTAGGCAACACGGAATGCGGACTAATTTTAGAGGCGGAAGTGTATTTTTAAATTTTATGGCTAAGGAGAGAGAAATTTTTTAAAATGGACCAAGTGTGTGCAAAATTGGGCCACGAACGGGTCTAGGAAAGGAAATAATTGCCCGAAAATTTTGGCTAAATCGGGTTAAAATTGTCGGATGTAGAGAGGTGCCAAAAAAAGGGGAAAAATTCCAAACGTTGTAGAAATCTTTTTTGAAATTTTGACACAATGGCAATTACGGGTTCACAATCTACTAAAAAAAGACTTTCTATTCCCTCTAAAACCAGAGTCGTATTCGGTTTTTTATTTTTGGAACACAATAACTAAGTTTTTTGCTTTAAAACACTTTAAATTTGGAAATAATCAAAAATAACGCCTAATTTTGCAATTATTGGCTTAGTTTAACTGAATTTTTCTAAATTTTATGAGTAAAGTTAGCGAACTTGAGATTATTTTTTATAGAAAACATTTCATTTTAGATTTAAATTACAAATTTCCTTTTTTTTTTTTGGTCAAATATTTCAAACAATAAATTTTTCACGCATTTTTTAGTTTGTTTTGTCAAAAACTTTCAATTCTAGCAAAATTTTGCAATTTTTTGCATTGATTTAGTAATTTTTTAAAATTTTTTGAGTTTCTTTGCTCTGTTTTGGCGAAAATAAAAAACACTTTATTTTGTGCACTGTCATTAATTAACAATAATTAATTACAATTCTATTCTATTATTAATTCTATTCTATTCTATTCTGTTACAAAAAAAAAAGACAATTGCCAATTGGGGTTTTATTTGTAAAAATAACACACCCTAAACTAAATAAAGCAAATTTTCTTTTTAGTTTAGAAAAAAACTTCACTTCACCAACGTTAAATAATTATCATTAAAAAAATTACAAAGTGAGTTTTCTATTTCTAGCGGTTTGCATCACGGCTAAGCAATTCTTTTAAGAAAAAAATAATTTATGTCTTTTATATTTTTTAAATTGCTTTTTTTGGTTATAAATAATTGGAAACAATAGACTTATTAATTAATTAATTGCAATCAATTTTAATTTAATTAACCATTGAAAGCGCCATCTTGTCATTTTAGTACTCTTCTAACAAACTGTAAAATTTAACGTTATTTTAGAAAATTACGTAGAAAATAGTCATAAAATCTCTAAATTTTTATTTTTTTATGTATAAAAAATCACTTGGTGTATTTTTGTGGCCACCAAAGTGAGTTTTCTATTTGTAATGGTTTGCATCACGACTAACCTTTTTTAAATAAAGTAATTTATGCGTTTCATATTTCTTAAATTTCTTTTCTTGGTTATAAAAAATTGTAAATAATAAATTTATTAATAAATTAATTGCAAACAATTTTAATTCAATTGACCATTTGAAAGCGCCATCTTATGCTTTCAGTGCTACTCTAGCAGACTACTAAGCCACAAATAAAATAGCTAAAAAATCATCAAATTTCTATTTATTTATTCACAAAAGTGCATTTGATGTATTTTTATAGTCGCAGACGTTAAATAACTATCATCTATGCTATCATTCAAAAAAAAATTAGTTAGTGAGTTTCCTGTTTAGAACGGTTTGCATCACGGTTAAGTTTTTTTTTAAGTAAAAAATCTAGTTTGTGTGTATCATATTTTCGAAATCGTAACTTTTTGGTTATAAATAATTGTAAATTTATTCATGAATTCATTTATTAAATAATTATTGTGAATTATAATAAAATAATAAAATGTCAAGAGCGCCACCTCACGGTTCCAAATACCACTTACGTGAACCTCAAAATTTGAGGTTATTTAAGTAAATTGCTTCTAAAATCGCACTCAAACAATCAAATTATCTTCCAGGGGGGCCACCACGTTGAATAATCACCCTTGATTTTTTTTAAGTTAGGTTATGTCCCATTCCGAGTCGAAGCGCCCCCTCACCCCTGAAGAATGGTCCTTCCTAACTGGCCATTTCGTGGGCAACGACCACCGCTACCGCGAAAACATCATCATCCCCCGCACCTTGGGCCCCGTCCAGATCAAAAGCAACGAAGAGAAACGCGTGGAAGCCTTCTTCGAAAGCTGTCCTTTCAAATCCCTCATGAGCTGCGTCATGGGCTACGGTCTGGGGGCCGCAATCGGTCTGTTCTCCAGCAGTGTGGGGCCCACTGCCACCAACGTGGAACAACAAACAGCACGCCAAGTTTTTCGAGAAATGAAAAATACCACTCTGAGTTATGCGAAGAATTTTGCCATGATTGGGGCCCTGTTTTCGGGGGTGGAGTGCACCATTGAGACGGTACTGAGTACATTATTAGGGGGCACATGATTCACGGAAATTTTACAGATGAGGGGCAAGTCTGATTGGAAGAATGGGACGTACGCGGGGGCTGTCACGGGGGGCCTGATCGGGTTAAGGGCCGGGGTCAAGGCCGGAGTCGTGGGGGCGGCCGGATTTGCCGCCTTCTCCACAGCGATCGACTATTACATGCACTCAAGGTTTTGATTTGTTAATAATTAAAAAAATAAATAAAAAACCGAAAAAAAACAACCTATAATCTATGTTTAACACATTTCCCGATCAACAAATATTGTTGTATATTGAAAGGAAGATTTATAACTTGTAACTTTGCCAAAAAATACGAATTTTTCGAGTTTTTGAGCAAAAAATCAAAACATTTTGATTTCTACGAAAAACTAGTACTATATGTAAAATTAACCGGGGAATACGCCTGTATAGACCGTTTTGACCTAGGACTTGAAGTTTTTGAGATTTTTTTTTTTTGAATAAAATTAAAAATGGCTCTGTACCCGGAYCCATAACCCGGAGCGACTTCCGGTTTGCACCATTTGATAGATAATTTCAAGCTAATTCTAATGGTTTTTAACTTTTTGCTCTAAGTCTTATAGTTTCGTACAAAAACGCGTTTAAAGTTTCACAATTTTGACTTTTTCAACGACGATTACGCCCAAACTATTAGACTTAGAGCAAAAAGTTCAACTCCATCGTAATCAGCGTAAGAAAATCTATCGACTGAGGCCAAAGCCAAGTCGATATCTCGCAAAAAAATTTTGAATTTTTAAACGCCGATTACGGCGAAACTAAAGGAGATAGCCCAAT